GTCACTGAACTTGGTATGAGAACATTGAACATGACTTGGTTGGTATACATCCAGTGTTGTATAAAGTGAGTTCAGGCGAGTGGTGCACGAAGCGGGAGCTAGTAGAATAAATATATCTCAGGCTCTATGAAAAGACCTCAAGTAAGAGCGGGTAAAGTACCTAGTAGGTTAGGTTAGGTTAGGTGGTGTCGACACACGAGCGCGAAGCGCGAGTGTGGAGATGTGAAAGCTGTGAGAGGAGACTATTCGGTAGCAAGTTTGCCCTCGCTTTGGTGAGCAGAGGACGCTTTCGATGGTACTGGCCATCTCATCAGGCTGAATAGTAGTTTTTATACCTGTAACACTGTAGATGTGAGTCTAGCAGCTAAGTTTGCTATCGTTTAGATAGTAAACATAGGAGGGATAAGGGTATATTAGTTCCCGGATCTATCTGAGCGAATGAGACGCGTAGGATAGGCAAATACCAGTCTTCCGCAGGAACAAACACATAGATAGGGGCTTCTCATGGGACGCACAGAGGCAGAGATAAGATGTGAGATAAGATCACAGGGGTGCGTCACCTACAGCCGCCGAAGGCGGACCGCGCGCGGAGCGCGCGGGCGGCGTTCCGAAGGAACGCCGCCGGCTTTAACATGACATGAGAAGATCCGAGGATCATAAGAACCGGATTAACGGTAATACCGAAACAGGGGAACAAACGCAAAAAGTGACATGTGAAGTGTCACGCACCGAACGGGCGTTACCTGCGGAGCACGGAACTGTCAACAGTGGGAATCTGACGGAGCGCACGGGCGGCGGAACGCCGCCTCCGCGTTTCCCGATCATGAGAGACAGCGAACTCAGGGGGCCGCGGGACGGCCCCCTATTTACTAGCAAAGTAAACATCCAGACGTATAAAAGAAACGCCGAATGGTGAACGGTGGTATAACTTAGTCAGACATGGCATGCTACCGCCAATATCACAATACCACTTCACTCGATCAAACCAGGCCATGGGGCTATTCTCGGGGTCTGCAACTCGCTCGAGTCGAGCAGATCCGTCTTAGATCGCTCCGAATGCACCGGGACGAAAACGTGTACACCGGCGTCGGCACGCGCAAGCTTAGGCCGCGGCTTGACACCGCAACCGAGCGCGCGGGCTATACCGGTAAACGTACGTTCTGGCTGGAGGCACCATCCATCCTCCTAGCAAAGTATGATCCGGACAAACGCCTTGAGGCGTTCACCCGTGAGTAAATGTGGCTCTCACTTCTTGGACGAGACTAATAGACGACCTTCAGTCGCCAATGCATGCCGCCATCGTATGCCAGACACGTTGCTGCATCAGATCTGCACGTGGAGATACAAGGCGTGGTTGGTGCAGACGCAGGACTTACTGCCGCCGACCCAATGGTACCCGGGCATCGCTGCTCAGGGACCGGGCCGTCAGGCTGCCAGGTGGGCAATCCAACCTAAAAGGTGAGTTCTAGTGTTACCAACACTATTTTTTCCGTATTTTCGGTTTGTTAGTTTCGGTTAACTAATATACCTGTCTGATTAAGGACACGTATGACGCCAGAGCCGGAGTTATTCCGGCGGGCCGACTTGTCCCTGGATTCCGTTTCACGGGATTACAGGGAGGCGGTCACTGGTACGCCAATCCCAAGCCAAGGGTTCTTTGCTTGGGATAGTCAGTCGGTCCGCACCTGGAGAGGTGAGGAGGTGCAGCGGTACGTGAACCTGCTGACACATGAGGAGGCGGACTTGGAGCCCAGGTCTCTGGACGGCGAGGATAGGTGGTAGTACTGTAGATAGAACTACCATAGCCCAATCGTGTAACAAGCCGCGTTGGTTTCCCGTCGCACGAATGTCATCGAGTTGCGCTCCTATCGCCAGAGCCCCTAAGTGTCCAGTGTGAACGGTTACCCGTAAGGTAAAGGGGTTAGCTCTTAAATAAATTAGAGTTAGAAGGTTAGCCCGGTTAGCCGTTAGACGTTAGGGTTAAGCTACGGGTGGCAATCAGCAAAAACATCATCTCCTCGCGGAGTTGATTGCCACGCACGTTAAGTTAGGTCAAAGATTGCTTGATGAATAACAATCTTCTCCATGACTCCAACTTATCGAACAATAATAAGTCCTGTACTGGCATCAGTACTGCAAATCCTTCCAAGGGATTACATGCTCGTCGTCATTCAAGAAGTACTCAGCTTCGTTCTCGAATGAATCGCGCATTTGACTTTTCTTCCACGTGTTGTAGAGGTCGCCTAACGCAAGAGTGCGCTTCTTGCTTACAACACCTCGTCTTCCAGGGATGTCTGACAGTCTAATGTCTTCCATCAATTCCTGTACGAAGACCGGGATATCTCCAGGCTTGTTACATACCCAGTAACGCGCCCATCGACACAACGGCTGTTGGGGATCCAACGGTAATCGGGGTAGATCCGGGTCGCTACTTCGACAGCTCCAACTGAAATCCCCTTGGCTACCAAGGGGCACATCGATCGCCTCATCAAGGTTTCCCGAAGACGCATCATCTCGAGTGATTGCGGGCACAAGAGCGTGGTACAACGGTAATACCGAGCCGGGCAAGGGATGACCAGAGGGAGGGGCAGGATTAGATACACTACCCATGTGTCCATGCAGAGCACTTTCACTTTCGTCAGAGGAGGGTGAAGCCCTCCCCGTACGCTGTCTTTTCAACGGTGGAGCACCGGAACGAGAGCCAACGTTCCCCTGAATAGCCATCTGCCCGTTCAGTCCGGGCCGCGGAGGCCTAATGTCAGGGGTGAGGGAACGAAGGCGCGATGGCCCAGCCACCCCAGCTTGCGCGAGGGGTATAGGCCAGGCACGTTTGACGCTAGCCCGTGCTAGTGCATCGGATAAGCTCAGCTGGACATAGTCCCGCTGTTGTTGTGAGGATGTTGGAGTTTCCGCCATATCAGGGTCCACAATGTCAGCTGCTCTCGCAGCGATGACATGTCGGAACTTTCGACGGTTAAACCAAACGTCTGCGTTAGCAGAGATTTCAGGAGGCATTCTGACGGTGATCGAATTATGTAGGCTGCACTGTCCTTGGAGGTCACACCACGTGATAGCGTTAAGGTGAGTTTCCCAAGATGTCCTGATGGAAGTCAACATGCCGTGCACGTCGAACTGATCCCAAACGGGATTGAACTCGGTTTTTAGGACTAAGAGATTAACCGGGGTGATCTTCTGCAGTTCTTTGCGAGAAGGTGCCAGACGATCTTTCCATCTCTTTTCGGAGTTGTCCTTAATCCACCTGTTCAACAAGGCTGAGGGATAACCGCGGGCTTCGTACATTAATACGATGTCCGCAAGTGCCTGTTTGTAGTGTTCTACACGACTACTCAGGGTTGCTAGCCTTGACATTTCACTAATAAATGCCCCTTTCTTGACATCTTTAGGGTGATTTGTCACGTAAGGGATACGTTCGTGATGGTTCAGTGCTTTGCGATAGGGGCGCCATTCAACGGTGGGGGATCTAGATCCCTTGCCCGCGATGTACACCCACATGTCCAGAAATGGTGCGTTCCATTCCGACACTGACCAATCCATTTGTAGTTCGTCATGAAACGATACAAAGTTCAAACGTTCTAAGGCTTGTTCTTTCGAGTCTGCATATACAAGCGCAAAGACGTCATCCAGATACCGTCCGTAGAAAGGGATGTGGGGATGAACGGTATTGGGTGGAAACCAGACCTTTTCCGATATCGCGGCATACAGTTGAGCAATATCAGGGCTGCATGCTGCACCCATCGGGAGGCCGCGTAGTTGTTTGTACGCATGGTTACCAAATTTAACGAAGAGAGGTTTTAACACTCCAATCTGAAAACAGGAGAGCACTACGTGCTTCTCATAGGGGCTCAGAGATTGGAAGTGCGCAGTCTTTTGCCACTCGCGAAGTACTTTGAGTGCCGCAGAGGGATGCGGGATATTTGGGTAATATGCAATAATATCACCCGTCACAATCCAGACCTTTCGGTCCAAGTGCAACTTCACTTCGGAAAGCCGACGAGCCATGTCCTTCGATCCCTGAATGATCGTAGCATAGAGTTCGTACATCGGTTTCAAATATTTTGAAACAACTTTCGCCGCAGGTGCCTGCATGATACTATGGCACGGAACGATGGGCCTATAACCTGTTGGTTTCTTATGTATTTTAGGAATGACGTAGAATTCCGGCAATACAGGCCAAGCGCCATCTTTCGTGGGCATTTTAGAACGCAAAAATGCGAATAGTTGTTCCCATTCGTCTTTCATAGATATACCACCGAAGCGCTTTATTGTCAGCTTTTCGATGGAGTCTCTAACGTCGACGACATAATCCTCGAGCTCTTGGTAAGTAGCCAACTTGTAGTTACTCTGATCGCCAAGTAGAGTTCGAGCTCCCATAATGAGCCACTCCCGGGTGACTACTGCCGTTCCCAGATTTTTATCTGTTCCGGTGACTACATATTTATGTAGATCGAGATATTCCTTGAGTTCGACCACTTTTACCAGACCCGAGTCTTTGGCAAAGTGTTTTAAACGTGTCTCAACGTGCGCAACATAGGTCTCGCAAAATCGTTCTCCAGCGTTTAAGCCGTCAAGGATGTAATCAGGCAGTCCGTCAGGAAAATTATCCTTAGGAATTTTTAGATCATAGTCAGGGTCATAGGGGTGTTTTTTGTCACTTTCATTTGATCCGATGAAGTTGATTCTCCATGCAAGACGACGTTTGAAATCAAACCAAGCGTCCATGATAAGGTTGACAGAGGGTTTATTGTACAACAAATAGCATCCAGAACTACTGAGGATATTCGCTAGATGATCGGGGATATGTACATTAGGACCTATATGACACATCGATAAAAATCGTCTGGCTCGTAGATAATTCTCATTTATCGTACTAGAGAGCCAGCGTATCGCTAAACTTCGGTGGAGGCTTAGTAAAGTGTCTGGGTAGCTATCGGGGGCATCGTACCGAAATTTATCGGCGATCAATAGTGCCTCGAGCACCGCTATTTTTGCGGTTGCTTTCCCGACTTCTTCGAGGAGGGCTTTCCCTTCTTTGGGCCCTTTGAAGATGAGTTTCCATTGGGTTTTCCTTTGCCAGCCTTCTTTGGCTTCGAGGATTTCTTCGCCGCGTTCTTTGCGGCGTGCTTCTTCTTCGTCCTTTGCCCATTCCCTGAAGAACCATTGTTTTTCTTGGGCTTCTTGGGACGTTGGGAAGGTTTCTTCCCTTTCGAGTTGGATCCTTTCGAAGAATTGACATTCATCTGGGGATAAAGGGACATGAGCAAGCAACTCATGACGCGACGCCATAACAAAATGAAATGCAAGCGTAATTGCGTAATCAATGAAAACAGTGTTAACCGTGAATAAGGCATGTAGCGAGTCAAAGTTGGGGGGGAGGATCATGCGGTGATCGCGCACCTTTTTCATCCTACGCATGACTTCACGATAAGCACGGTCTGCGACCGCTTTGCTTTCAACTTCAGGGTTGCCACCACCGTCGTTTTCGTCGTCTCGCAACTTAACAGCCTTTTCTTTACGAAAGTCCTTAGCTTCACAATCATTTCGCGCGATTTGAATTGCTCTAGCACATATCGTAGGTATGTCGTCTTTAAGACGAGCAAACTTATAGGGTCAAAATAGAAATAGGTTTCAAACTTGTGAAAAAATATCTTTTGGCGGGCTGGTACATATCATAGAGGGTATCGATAGGATGGATATGAGCCAACAATTAAGAAAAACGGCGGTTGGATCGTGGAGATATGTCCAAAATACTGATATTTGAGCCAACCTCCCATATCACGATAATGCTGACCTCTGGAAGGTCTGGGACCATTCCCAATCGATTCACAGGCCTCAAATACCTTAGGAGCAATGTTTGCAGTATCGGTATTGAGGTGGAATACTGGGATAGTGACATACATGAGGTCAGGAGGAGGAGGAGGACCTTGTATATCTCAGGAACACGATTTTTCCAGGCAATTCTGGCTTTACCATCGTGTTCAGAGGGCTCAATAGCCCCCAGGAAAAATGCTTTTGAAGGACAGGCTAGTCATATGAAGTCTAGAAAAATCGATCTTTGGGTGGGGCAGCATGACTTGGGTGGCCAACTTTGGAACATGATTTTTAGAGCGAAATCCGGCTCGACCAACGTGTTCAGATGGTCAAATAACCTCTAGAATGAGTCCTACCTAAAGCCAAGCAAGCCATATGAAGGCTGAAAAAATCGATCTTTGGGTGGGGGGGGGATGACAGGGGCAGCCAACTTTGGAACATGATTTTTAGAGCGAATTCTGGCACGACCAACGTGTTTGTATGGTCCAATAACCTCTAGAATGAGTCCTACCTAAAGCCAAGCAAGTCATATGAAGGCTGAAAAAATCGATCTTTGGGTGGGGGAGCATGGCATGGGTGGACAACTTTGGAACATGATTTTTAGAGCGAAATCCGGCTCGACCAACGTGTTCAGATGGTCAAATAACCTCTAGAATGAGTCCTAGCTACAGCCAAGCAAGCCATATGAAGGCTGAAAAAATCGATCTTTGGGTGGGGGAGCATGATAGGGGTGGTGGTCAACTTTGGAACATGATTTTTAGAGGCAAATCTGGCATCACCAACGTGTTTGTATGGTCCAATAACCTCTGGAACGAGTCCTACCTAAAGACAAGCAAGCCATATGAAGGCTGAAAAAATCGATCTTTGGGTGAGGCAGCATGACAGGGGTGGTCAACTTTGGAACCTGATTTTTTTGGACCAATCGAGCATTGCCAGCTCGTTCAGAGGGCTCAATAGCCTTGGGAACAAGTGCTGCAGGAACCCCAGCAAGCGATATGAGGGCCAAAGAAATCAATCTTGAGGGGAGGCAGCAAGATAGGGGCAGTGGACTTATATGGTCATTTCAGAAATACATTTCAAAGTTGTAAAAAAATATCTTCTGGTGGGCTGGTACATATGTTAGAGGGTACTTCCAGGATGGATATGAGCCAATAATCAAAGAAAACGGCGGTTGGGTTGTGGAGATATTGTCAAAATACTGACTTTTCAGCCCACTTGACATATCACATCATTGTCGACCTCTGGATGCTCCGGGACCATCACCAATCGATTCCTAGGCCTCAATAACCCCAGTAACATTGTTTTCAATATCGGTATTGAGGTACAATATCGGAATAGTGACATACAGGTGATCAGGGGGGGAGGAGGACCTTGTATATCTCAGGAATATGATTTTTCCAGGGAAATCTGGCATCACCACCGTGTTCAGAGGGCTCAAGAACCCCCAGGAAAAATACTTCTGAAGGACAGGCAAGTCACATGAAGGCTAGAAAAATCGATCTTTGGGTGGGGCAGCATGACAGGGGTGGTCAACTTTGGAACATGATTTTAGAGCGAAATCTGGCTCGACCATCGTGTTCATATGGTCCAATAACCTCTAAAATGAATCATAGATAAAGCCAGGCAAGTCATATGAAGGCTGAAAAAATCGATCTTTGAGTGGGGCAGCATGACAGGGGTGGTCAACTTTGGAACATGATTTTTAGAGCGAAATCTGGCTCGACCATCGTGTTCATATGGTCAAATAACCTCTAAAATGAATCATAGATAAAGCCAGGCAAGTCATATGAAGGCTGAAAAAATCGATCTTTGAGTGGGGCAGCATGGCAGTGGTGATCAACTTTGGAACATGATTTTTAGAGCGAAATCTGGCTCGACCATCGTGTTCATATGGTCCAATAACCTCTAAAATGAATCCTAGCTAAAGCCAGGCAAGTCATATGAAGGCTGAAAAAATCGACCTTTGGGTGGGCCACCATGGCAGTGGTGGTCAACTTTGGAACATGATTTTAGAGACCAAACTGGTATCACCGATCCATTCATATGGTTCAATAAACCTTGAGAATGAGTCCTAATTAAAGATAGGCAAGTCATGTGAAGGCTAAACAAATCGATCTTTGGGTAGGGGCACCATGACAGGGGTGGTCAACTGTGGAACATGATTTTTAGAGACAAATCTGGCATGACCATCGTGTTTATATGGTGTAATAACCTTCAGAAAGATTCCTAGTTAAAGCCAGGCAAGGAATATGAAAGCTGAAAAAATCAATCTTTGAGTAGGGGCACCATGACAGGGGTGGTACTCAAACTTTGGAACATCATTTTTAGAGACAAAACTGGTATCACCAATGCATTCATAGGGTTCAATAACCTCGAGAATGAGTCCTAGTTAATAACAAATGTGTCATATCAATGGGCTAGTAAATCAATCTTTGGATAGGGCACCATGACAGGGGGTGGTCAACTGTGGAACATGATCTTTAGAGACCAAACTGGCATCTCCAATGCATTATATGTTTCAATGATCTCAGAATTAGTCCTAGTTAATGACAGATTTATCATATGAAGGGCCAGTAGATCAATCTTTGGGTAGGGCAGCATGATAGAAGCAGACCACTCAACTTTGCAACATGATTGTTGGATACAAAACTGATATCACAAATCGATTCATAGGGTCGAATAACCTCGAGAATGAGTCCTAGCTAATGACAATGTGGCATATCATGGGCTAGTAAATCGATCTTT